AGTTTAATAGGACTGTTACTGTAAGTATGACATCATCTGCAAAAAGTCTAATTTTATGGGATGAAATGTGCTACTGATATGCCAGAGATTGATGGGTTAAGTCTGATTTACTTCGCCAGGGGTTCCATCACTAAAGAAAAATCATAGGGGAAAGTACACATCCTTGCCTGGTACCATTAGTGATTATGAAAGAATATGATAAAGCATTAGAAGTAACTACTTGCACAGTAGGGACCGTATTTAGTGCAGTAATGGCCTATTTTACTATAACCATGAATACCAAAGTTGCTTAGAGTAGCATCAAGATATTGTTAATGGACTCTATGGAAAGCCTTTTCGCCCACCCAAAAAAACAGTCTGTGATTTACGAAGTTCCGTAAGTCTCATGAAATTAAGTACTCTATGTGTGCTGCTTGCCTTCCTTAACAAAGCCCACTTGGTCTGATTGGATAAGAGAAGGGGTTATTTTTAATAATCGACTTGCAATAATTTTAGCATATTTTTTAAGGTCGGTATTTAGTAAGGTTATTGGGTGAAAAAATTTTGAGGGCAGTCTGGGGTTTTACCAGGTTTGGGTAGGGTGACTATAACGGCCTTCAGCATGTCGGGATGGAAAAGATGTAGAAGTCACAGCTTCTAAAAAATTTTTTTAAGGTGTGAGGTAGTAAATAATATGTCTTGAAATTCTTTATAATATTGTGCAGAGAACCCGTATGCCCCGGCGATTTCCCCTTTCGGTAATTTGATAATTTGATAGCAGCAGTTATTTCCCTATCTAAATTGGTTGATTCAAAGCATCCAATTTTTGCTGGTCAAGTTTGGGTAAAGGGAGATTATCGAAAAAGCATTAAATAAGGTAATTCAGGTCATCTTTAAGATTGTATAATTGAGAACGAAATGCTTCCGCTATTTTATTTTGGATGGAAAGTTATTCTATAGTACAGTGGTCGGCAAGCGCGCGGCTCGCAAGCCACAAGCGACTCTTTACACACATTAATGCGGCTCTTCTGTGTGCCGGGCGCCTGCTCCCCTCCCTCCTCTCGGGCGGACCGCCCCAAAAGTCAGAACTCTGCAGCTAGCCCAGCAATGGGCAAACTAAATTACGGCCCACATACGGCTCGGCGGACCTTTTAATCCGGCCCGCGTAGCGTGGCAAACATTGGCTGTCAGGATGTAGGCGGGGGCAGCGTGATGAACTCCTCTCCTCTCACAGTCCGCCCTGAAGACTGGAACGGCGCGGGAAACACGGCGGGAGGAGAACGCGCGGAGCAAAGGTAAGTGAATTGACACAATAATATGGGGAATGAATTACTATAGGGGGGATGAATTACTATAGGGGGGAGATGAATTACTATATGGGGGATTAATTACTGATTGGGGATGAATTACTATTGGGGGATGAATTACTAAAAAAAAAATGGGGGATGAATTACTATATGGGGGATGAATTACTATGGGGGATGAATTTACTATATGGGGGATTAATTACATTACTATATGGGGGATGTATTTACTATATGTGGGATGAATTACTATGGGGGATGAATTACTATATGGGGGATGAATTACTATATGGGGGGATGAATTACTATGGGTGGATGTATTACTATATGGGGGGATGAATTACTATATGGGGGATGACATACTATATGGGGGATAAATTACTATGGGGGGATGAATTACTATATGGGGGATGAATTACTATATGGGGGATGAATTACTATGGGGGATGAATTACTATGGGGATGAATTACTATGGGGGATGAATTACTATATGGGGGGATGAATTACTATGGGGGATGAATTACTATATGGGGGATGAATTACTATATGGGGGATGAATTACTATGGGGGATGAATTACTATATGGGGGATGAATTACTATGGGGGGATGAATTACTATATGGGGATGAATTACTATATGGGGGATGAATTACTATGGGGGATGAATTACTATATGGGGGATGAATTACTATATGGGGGATGAATTACTAAATACGGGGGATGAATTACTATGGGGGAGGGGATGAATTACTATGGGGGATGATTTTGATTACTATATGGGGGATGAATTACTATGGGGATGAATTACTATGGGGGATGAATTACTATATGGGGGATGAATTACTATGGGGGATGAATTACTATGGGGGATGAATTACTACATGGGGTGATGAATTACTATGGGGGATGAATTACTATATGGGGGATATGAATTACTATATTGGGGGATGTATTTTCAGTTTTAAAAATGTGGCTCTCAAAATAAATTTCAGTCGTGGTTTTGGCGAGATTTTGGCTCAGTTGAAAAAAAAGGTTGCCCACCACAGTTCTAGTATATAGGATCTATCATAGAAGAAATTTTAGATTTTGAATGTTTAGCATTGAGGTAGCTGGCAAGTATTTTGCCAGCTTTATTATCTTACGTATAGGTAGCTTTAGCTCATTTAAGATACTTTTCATGTTGGATTAATAGAAGTTTTCTAAGAGCTAGTCAATTAGCCTGTAACTCTTGTAGTATATTAGGGGAAAGAGATTGTTTGAGTTTGAATTCTAAACTAGTAATTTTTTCAGAAAATTTCAGATAAAGCACGTCGTCTGCACCATTTTTCTTGCGAAGATAGTTTTAGTAAAATTCCCTACAATAGGCTTTATAAACACACCAAACATTAAATACATTAGTATCCGAAGAAGCATGAATGTCAACTCTTCCTTAGTTATCATTATGGGCATCAGCTAATTTGTTGTGAGCAGTAGCAAATTCACCCATCTTAGATTCCACGTGGTCCACCTGCTCCCCCAGATTTTCCACCTCTGCATTCACTTGCATCACAAAACTCATTATATCTTTATGTAAAGAGCCTTTGAGGGTAACTAGCATATCTTTCATAACTGAGATGGTTAGAGGTAAGGTCTCAGCAGTATAGTCCTCAGATGTTCTATAAATTCTCTAGTAGTGTTATGATAGAAGGAATCATTAGACTGCTCACCTGTACGCCGCTGGTCTGGGGAGCATCTCTGTTTAGCCTTCTGCAGGCTGCTAGTAGGGGTGTTGCATGTAGATTATGCAGGGCTAGCATTCTGTGAATGGGAGTAATGGCTCTCCTCTGCCTCATGCCAAGGTCAGAGAATTGCTGGGACTGGGGCCATCTTGGGAGGAGGGAACACCCACTGGAGTGAAGAACTACATTAGTTTGTGGCACTCTAAGGATGCTGACTGAGGCTAAAACTGTGTTTCCCGCTGCCCCCCATCACTTTAAATAGCTGAAGTTGTCGGCAATTCCCGGTGCTCTCACTCTAAACGGCGATCTCCATCAGCTGCTGGCCACGCCCCCCCCTGAAAAAATTTTTTTTTTTACTCATTCATGTCCCTCAGGGCAATATCGGAGTCCCCATATCCCTTTTATGGCCAATAGCTTGCATATAAGCCTTCAAAATGGGCACTTTTGAATTTGCAAGTTCGAGTCCCATAGACTTGCATTAGGTTCCATATTCACAGCAAACTTTTGGTCCATTCCAATGTTCTACTATGAACCGAACTGGGGGGGGGGGGGGGTGTACAACCCATCACTAGTGACCATGTGTCCTCTTAAGCTCCCTGAGACTGAATTGTTTTGTCCCTATGCTGGAGTTATCATTGAGATATTTGTATATGACTATCATATCTCCACATCATTCCACATAACTGAGATCCTGCAGTCCTCTTACTAGTTTTGTTGACCCTCTCTGGACTCTCTCCAATTCTTGCACATCTTTCCTGAGGTCTGGTGACCACAACTGGGCAGCATATTGAAGATGTCATTGAACCGGACTTTTATAAAGTGGCAGAATTATAGTTTTATTTCTTGAATGAATACCTTTTTTAATGCATGCTAATATTCTGCTGGCTTTGCTTGCTGCAATTTCGGGATTGCATACCATTGCTGAGCCTGTCATCTACTAGGATCCGCAGATCTTTTTCCACCTTGGATTTCCCCAAAGTGCCCCCCCACCCGTAAGTAACTTCACATTTGTGAGTTAACATTTATAGTCCCTAAGTGCATTACTTTAGTTTTTTTTAACATTAAACCTCATTTGCTATTGTTTTGCAGCAGTCAAAATGGTTAATTTGCATGCTAATAGAAAAGACAGACCTTGGATGAGTGAACAGTTCTGTCTGCCCAGTGTATATATGTCTCCCATTATGATAACATTGCCTTGCCTTGCCACCATTCCTAACTGTGACAGATCAGGCTCCTCCTCATTGTTCAGGTTAGGGGGTCTTTAGCATATTCCCATTTGTTTCTTCCCTTTGAAACACTATGCCATGATGATTCCACCTTCACCCTTGTTTGTAACGTACCTGGTGGTGGAGCCTGATATGTGGAGGTTGGCTTCTTTTACACCTCTGGCTCAGGAACCCTGGTAAAGGGACAGGAGCAACAAAACAAAAAAACAGAAAAAAAGTCCCCTGTGCTCAAGAGTTGTGGGATGATATGAACAATGCAGGTCTTTAAGCCCAAATGAGAAAACAATGGAAGAAAGGGCGCACCAGTCTAGTGCATTACCTGAGAACAGAATGTTTATTAAAACACCAAAATATATACTCACAAACAATTATGTGTCAAAAGCATCATAATCTCAAAGTGGATGAAAGGGGCAGGGCACCTGAGCACAGAGTGGGCACTAGTGCCTGACTAGTCTTCCATTGCAGAATGCCGGAGAGCAGTGTATGCATTGCTGATGAGCAGGCTGTGCATTGCAGAAGAGCAGACTGTGCATTGCTGAAAAGCAGATGGTGCATTGCCAAGAAACGTTGCTGAAGAGCAGGCTGTCCATTGCTGAGAAGCAGGCTGTACTTTGCTGAATAGCAGGCTGTCCATTGCCAAGAAGCAGGCTGAACATTGCTGAAGAGCAGGCAGTGCATTGTTGAAGAGCAGGCTGAACATTGCTGAAGAGCAGGCAGTGCATTGCTGAAAAGCAGGCTGTACGTTGCTCAAGAGCCGGACGGTGCATTGCTGATGAGCAGGCTGTGCGTTGCAGAAGAGCAATCTGTGCTGGCAGAAGACAAGAACAAGAGGTAGGCATGGGTCAACAGGTTTTGATGCAGGAGAGCTGGGTCAGGCAGTCCAGGTCAGCAACTGAAGGGCAGATCAAGGTACAATACAGCAGACAGAAGAATAGTCAAGGTCAGGCCAGGGTCGGTAACAGTAAGCAGATGAGTGGATAAGCAGAAGGAGCAGACAGAGATGAAAATCCAAAGACAAGTCAGGGTTGGTACAGGCAGCATTCAGGCAGGGTCAGGAGTAGATCAAGTTGGTAAAAGGAAGTCAACACAAGAACAGGTATCAGATGCTTCAGAGAACATAATAGAACAAATGGCAAGGACCTCAGGTCGTGCAAGTTACTTAACCAGCCTGGTGTTTGTGCGTATTCACGCACCCATTCGTGCACCCTTTTGCACTTGTCAGCCAGTCGCAAATCAATGTTCTACCTTTCCGGACACTGCCCCTTCAGTATGGTTGTAGCAAACTAGCTCATCCGAGTTGGAGCAGAGTTCTCCTTCAACCTTTTTGTATTTGAGGTATTCCTCGAATCATTCCTCATATCCCCCCTGCATTCCTGTGAGGCAAAGATTATCTCCTGACAGATGGGGTGGGACAACCCAGCTACATATTAACATGTTAGCAAAGGACACCCCTGAGCCGAAGTGTTTTGGGAACAGGTGGGCACCCCGGCAGTTGCCACGGGATTCGGATAGCCACAGACGACTGGTACCCACCCTTGACCGCTCACTTGGTCGGCCCAGCAGTGCTGCTGGGGAGAACGGCTTCCTGTTCAGATGGAATTCGGTTCTCCCGCAGTACAGCGGTACCAGGACGTCCCAAGAGGAACCTCTGGACAGAGGTCGGTTGTGTCAGGAGGGAACTTGGGGCTCCCTCCTTGGTGCCCACTTAAGGGGGAGGTGTAACAAACTAGCTCATCCGAGTTGGAGCGGAGTTCTCCTTCAACCTTTTTGTATTTGAGGTATTCCTCGAATCATTCCTCACATCCCCCCTTGCATTCCTGTGAGGCAAAGGTTATCTCCTGACAGATGGGGTGGGACAACCAGGCTAAGACATCCTGAGAGTGGAGCCAGGCCGTCTGCTGAAGTGTAACTTTTGTCACCCAAAACTATGTAAGCCCACACATTATCAAACTGACCAGAGTAATTGCACATTCCTCAGGTCAACTGTATGTTTCATGTCATGGAATATGAAGCCTTAGTTTTAACTGAGTTTCCCAATGACCACTCCCAAAACGTGTAGTCAGAGCCCCCCCCCTCCCCTTTGAGAGGGACTTTTAAAAAAGATACAGACTGACCAGCCTAGAGAGAGAGTTTTTTAATAGAGGTCTCTGAGTTAACGTCGAACCCAAAGGAGACTAAACAAGTCTCTTCTATCTTTGCTTGCAATTATGCTGGTGAAACAGATTACGAGAAAATGAGCAAAGGTGATTTGAAAGTTGAATGTGCCTCATGAGGATTGGACGTCAGTCGCAAAACTCGTGAAGATTTGATTAGTGATCTAGTGGAGTATGATAGCCGAGCAAATCAGAACTTGGGGGAACCTGAACATGGAGGGGTTCCTGTTACCCACATTGCCAGTGGTTCAGAGACAGCTTTACAGGATGGGCATACAGAGACTGACACTGGAGGATCACCAAATATGCTAGCGTCACACCACCGCCTGAGCGCGCTAGCACCGTGGGGCCTGGAACCAGCAAAGACTCTTCTCAGATGCAGGAGGCCTTGAAACGCCTCATGGAGACAGATCTGGAAGCATACCTGCGGTTCATGGAACGCCGGGCTGACAGAGAAGCTGCGGAACGCCAAGCAGCGGCTGAGAGAGAGGAACGCCAAGCTCAGAGGGAAGCTGATCATCGGCACGAGATGGAGATGGCAAGGCTCCAGCAGCAACTGGGTCAGAACTCGGGTCCCTAGATCACAGGGACGCCACTCTTTCCATGGGCGCAGCCAAGTTTCCAGTGATGGAAAAGGACAGTGACGTTGACATTTACTTACTGTCCTTTGAAAAAACGTGCTGTCAGTACCATGTGCCCCAAGCTCAATGGGTTTGGTACCTGACACCAGGACTACGAGGTCCTGGATGCATTTGTTGAATTGCCAGAGGGGCAAGATGAGGACTATGAACTTTTAAAAGATGCCATTATCCAGAAGTACCAGATGACCCCGAAAGTGTACCACAAGCGGTTCAGGTCCATGCAGAAAGGACCTGGGGACTCTTACACGGATGTGGCAAGTCACTTACACACCACATTCCGACAGTGGACTAAGGGACTGAAAGCTGATTCTTATGAATCTTTGGAGGATCTAATGATCAGAGATCAGCTCTTGCACATTTGTCCAGCAGACATCAGACAGTTTGTCTTGGAGAGGGAGCCAGCATCTACTACAGCTGCAACAGACCTGGCAGATACCTTCGTCCACACGCGAGTGCCTGAACCTCGCAAGGCTACTCCAACCAGCTGGAAAGGGGGGAAATCGTCCCTAGCAACCTCTCCTACTTCAGTGAATCAAGCTTCACCTCCGCCCATCCCTGCAGCGCTTGGAGCCAAGCCATTCTTGCCTGACACCCGCAGATGTTTCACCTGTGGGAAAACCGGACATCTCAAGACGCAGTGTCCTGAGCAGAAGCAGATGACATCATCTGGCCAGCCGGCCAGCAACTCTTCTTCTGTGCTGTTCGTTCGCAGGAAGATGCGGGTAACCCCCGCCAACTTGCAACCTGTAACCGTGGGCAACCGGTCTGCAACTGGTTTCCGGGACACCGGGGCAGAAGTCACTTTGATCCGACCAGAGCTGATTGAGCCACAGAACCTCATCCCAGGAAAGTTCCTGACCCTCACAGGAGTTGGGGGGACCCGTTCACGCATACCCTGTGCAAAGGTATTCCTAGATTGGGGTGCGGGGAGGGGGATGAGGGAGGTGGGGGCCTCGGATGAACTGCCCACCCCTGTTTTGTTGGGTGCTGACCTAGGCACTCTTGTTTCATATTACACCCCTGCCGAGAAGACCCGGAAGGGCTCCCTGGAACACTCTAGACAAGCCAAGGTACTGTGGACAGATATTAGAATAAGGTCTGGGCCGCCTGTGGATGGACAGAGGGAGGGGGCTGGGAATGGTGTGGGGCTGCAGGAGTCTCCAGTAGCTGGAGAACCAGAAGAAATCCCCTGGTCTGGGGAGGTATTGGACTCATGTGTCATTGATATTATGAACGTGACTGTTGAGGATCGTTGTGGTGACACTGAGGGTGATATTACTAATGTTAATAACATTGGAAGTACAGTCAGTAATGTCATTGATAATGTTTGTATTGTTGACGGCAATGTTGGTAATGCTAACAATGAGGTTTGTGATGAAACAAAGGATGCATTTTCAGTGTCGGGGGCTGAGGTACAGTCTCTGGGGGCTGAGCAAGGGGATGGTCTGGACAGGCCTGTCCCTTGCCCAGGCTCAGAAGATTGTGCCTTGATAAGTACCCAGCCGTTGGCCTTGCATAGGACTAGGCAGCTGACTGGGACTTGTAGTTCCACGTCTCAGGCAGCACTGAAAAGCGATCCCCAAGGGAACTTCAGAGGTCCGCTAACTGTGAGTTGCCCTGCTAAGGAAGGCACATTACAGCTGGCTGGGACTTGTAGTTCCACACTTCAGGCAGCCCTGAAATGTGAGTCCCAGAGGACCTTCAGAGGTAAGCTGGCTGGGACTTGTAGTTCCACACTTCAGGCAGCCCTGAAAAGTGAGTCTCAAAGGACCTTCAGAGGTAAGCTGGCTGGGACTTGTAGTTCCACACTTCAGGCAGCCCTGAAAAGTGAGTCCCAAAGGACCTTCAGAGGTAAGCTGGCTGGTACTTGTAGTTCCACACTTCAGGCAGCCCTGAAAAGTGAGTCCCAAAGAACCTTCAGAGGTAAGCTAACTGAGATTTGTAGTCCCACAGGGAAGGCAGCTCTGGAAAGTCATTCATATGGAGATTTCAGCTTGTGTCCAGAGCTGAGCCCCCTGCTGGGGAGAGTAAACAAAAGACCAGGGAGGCTAGAATGACTGGCCTAGTCACTGGGGGTTGGGAGCCTGAAAGCCTGTCAGTTACTCTCATTTGTCAAGGTGTGTTCACAGACAGACAGACAGAGGTCAGAGGCAGCATGCCTGGATTACGAGTGGAAGGAGGGTTGATGCTTGGGTTACAGAGAGAGGGCCTCCGGGCCCAGACCCAATCACCCTTCCCTAGCACTCGGGGTCCGGAGCGGCTGCCCAGGCCTCTGATAGATGGTGTCTGGATTCAGAAGGTGCCGGCTGATTGGGCCACAGAGGCAAAGGGGATGGCACAGTCAGGAATCCAGGGATCAGCTAGAGTCTGGGCAGTCCTAGTGGTCGCGGTCCTCAAGCAGGATACGATGACCAGGCTTTCTGAGAACCTTGGGAAACTGAACACCAGCCCTGGGTTTGTGGCCTACCCCATGCCCAGGAGCCATGAGGCAATGGAGCATCCGGAAGGTGCCTACTGTTTTGGCATCATGGACCTGAGCAAGGAGCATGGGCCACCATCTCTAACCCAGCAAGCTCAAGACGAGCTAGCCTTCACTACCCCATGTGGCTTGCCTGAATCCACGGGAAAGCTAGTTGGGGTTGAGAATGCACCAACCGCCACTCCAGCGGTCAGGAATGGCCCGCAATGCGCAGTGGACCTGGGTGCAGTTGTCCACTTTAGGGGCCTCGTGGTGCTCGGCCCTGTCTAGGAAGAGCCACTTGGGCCCCTGTCACTAGTCTGGAACCAACTGCCCGGGCCCAGTCTGACAGTCAAGAAGGGTAACTGTCAGAGGGGCATGTCAGTGGTTCAGTCTAGGAACCCATCAGTAAAAAGAGACCCCCATGGGGAGACTGAGACAGTTGAGGCCTGGTCTGCTCCCCAGGCCACAAAGCAGGTTACGTCAGTCGCAGGTGCAGCTGGCTACGGTAAGACGCCTGGATATGATGATCATGGCTCAGCTGGACCTGTGACTGACCTAGCAGACAGGAAACTGGAGGAACTGGTGTCCTGGATGCTAGCAGGTAACGAGGACTGTCCATCTTGGATGAAGGTACCTGTGGACACCACTGGGAGGCGAGGCCCAGAATTCACCTGTCTGGTTCCGGTGCACACGGACGCTACTACCTTCAGGCCAGATGTAGTCCTAAGCCCGAGGAAGAAGGTAGGAGAGGGAAATCTTCTTCTCTACCTCGACAAGAAGCTACATATTAATGTTAGCAAAGGACACCCCTGAACCGAAGTGTTTTGGGAACAGGTGGGCACCCCGGCAGTTGCCACGGGATTCGGATAGCCACAGCCGACTGGTACCCACCCGTGACCGCTCACTTGGTTGGCCCATTAGTGCTGCTGGGGAGAACGGCTTCCTGTTCAGACGGAATTCGGTTCTCCCGCAGTACAGCGGTACCAGGACGTCCCAAAAGGAACCTCTGGACAGAGGTCAGTTGCGTCAGGAGGGAACTTGGGACTCCCTCCTTGGCGCCCACTTAAGGGGGAGTGTAACAAACTAGCTCACCCGAGTTGGAGCGGAGTTCTCCTTCAACCTTTTTGTATTTGAGGTATTCCTCACATCCCCCCCTGCATTCCTGTGAGGCAAAGGTTATCTCCTGACAGATGGGGTGGGACAACCAGGCTAAGACATCCTGAGAGTGGAGCCAGGCCGTCTGCTGAAGTGTAACTTTTGTCACCCAAAACTATAAAAGCCCACACATTATCAAACTGACCAGAGTAATTGCACATTTCTCAGGTCAACTGTATGTTTCATGCCATGGATTATGAAGCCTTAGTTTTAACTGAGTTTCCCATTGACCACTCCCAAAACGTGTAGTCAGAGCCCCCCCCCCCCTTTGAGAGGGACTTTTAAAAAATAGACAGGCTGACCAGCCTAGAGAGAGAGTTTAAACAGAGGTCTCCGAGTTAACATCCAACCCAAAGGAGACTAAACGAGTCACCCTGCTCTGACACTTGAGTCTGCAAAACCAGGCAAGGCAAGTAACCTAACCCTGTAACTTCCCTGCTATTCTCTCTTTGCTGTGTCTTTGTATACATATATATATATATGTTTGTGACATCTCTTTGTAAATATTTTATCGCACCTGTCTGCTCTTTTAGTAATAAATCTTTCTTTCTGAAAGTGTTAGACTGTTTTTAAGCGCTTACCTGCAATTCACGAATTGCTGCCTTTTGAAGAGATGCTACTGTTTGTTATATCTCTGTATAGCAGGTCCGTGGGCCGTGCTATTTAGATCAATATTTCAATCATTATAGTGTATATTTGATAACGGGAGTTTCCCAGTCTTCCTTTTTCTTTAAACAAAAGTGGTGGTGGCAGACAGAGGGTTAGTTCCGTAATTAACCCGACCCAGTAACAAGCGCATTCAGGCTGCAGGCACCAATTGTAGTCCATTAGCTGGGCAATCGCTGTGCAGGGTGCAGCTGGGTGGGGCCTTGTTACGCGCGTCACACCGTGGTTTTAGATTGGCCGGTCCTTTGGTCATGAGTTTGGTGAGAAGGTCTGGGGTCTGACGCCGTGCGATTGTCGCCTGTTGGTGGTGGAGACCGTGGGCTGTGACAATGGTTACATGTAGAGTTGCCATAGGCTGAGACTATGAAGCCAGCAGTTAAAAAAAAAAAAAAAAAAAAGTGGCAACCTTAGTCACATGACAGATGGGGTCTTCTTTTTTGCTTTGTCTTCAGCACTAGGCAGCTGATATCATGAAAAAGTCCTGTTCTCTGCATCACTGTACTGTGAGTACAGGGTGCCATGGTGACAATCCCCTGGGGGGAGTCCTTGATGCTCTGGTGATTGGTAAATTCATAGTCTTCATATTGTTTGGCAGCCATTTTGTTCATGCTTTCCTCATATATTAACATATAATGGATTTTTTTTTTTTTTTTTTAACATAAACATATGATTAGAAAATTCTAATGACACCTAGGCCATTCTTCATCAAGCTCTCGTAACATATACCCCCAATTACAAATATTTTTTTTTGTTTTAAACAGTCAGCAGGTTGATATTGTAAGTTGAACCCGATTCCAAAGACTGTTTTCAGCTTTTCTTATATTTTTCTTCCCACAGGTTACACAAAATTGGGAAAATGAATAACAGCAAAGTGAAAGTGGCTGTGAGGGTTCGTCCTCTGAATCAGAGGGAGAAAGGACTAAACTCAGAGTGTGTAGTTCGAGTCAATGGAAACCAGATTACCCTTTTGCCATCTATTTCCTGCAAGGAGAAAGACAGAAAAGAACCTCATATCTTCACATTTGACAACTGTTTCTGGACAGAGGATAGACCTGAAACTGGGCAGGAGGATGTTTTTGAACATCTCGGAGATGGAGTTCTTGAGAACATATGGCTTGGTTACAATGTGTGTATCTTTGCCTATGGCCAAACAGGTTCAGGAAAAACATTTTCAATGATGGGGACAAATAACCAACCTGGTATTGTGCCAAGAATCTGCTCTGCTTTATTTAATAAAGAGTCCAATGATGCAGAAACCATCAGGATTGAGGCTTCTTATCTTGAGATTTACAACGAGGAGGTTAGAGATCTTCTAAAGTCTGCAAAAAAGCAAAATAAACTAAGAGTTCGAGAAGGCAAACAAATTGGCCCATATGTTGAGGAGTTATCTTGCCATGCTGTTCAAAGCTATGAAAAGATTAAATTGCTGTTGGACCAGGGCAATAAACAGAGGGCCATTGCAGAAACCAAGATGAATGAGCAGAGTAGTCGTTCTCATGCCATACTAACACTGACCGTTACACAAACATGTAACGATCGCACATCAGGAGCCTTCAGGGAGTTGGTGAGTAAGGTCAGCCTGGTAGATCTGGCAGGAAGTGAGAGGTCCTACAAATCTGGAGCCCAAGGCCGTCAGATTAAAGAAAGTTGCAATATCAACAAATCCCTCCTAACTCTGGGACTAGTCATAAATTCTTTGGCCGAAAGCTCAGAAAATAAAAAGAGTCAATTTGTGAATTATAGAGACTCTGTACTCACCTGGCTACTAAAGAACAATCTTGGAGGAAACAGCAAGACAATTATGTTGGCCACGGTCAGTCCTGCAGCAGATAATTATCAAGAAACGCTCTCTACCCTAAAATATGCAGACAGCGCCAAACGAATAGTCAACCAAGCCGAGGTGAATGAGGATGTGAAATCCAAAGCCATAGAGGAGCTACAGGAGGAAATAAAAAGACTCAGAGAGGCGCTGACAACAAGAGAACAAGTACAGGAACAAAAGTCACAGTTGAAAGAAACAGAGGTACAGGAACTAAAGTCACAGTTGAAGGAAAAAGAAAATCTTCTTAGAGATTTGGAAACCTCGTGGGAAGAAAAGCTGAAAAGGACCGAGGTTGCTACACAGGAATGGCAAAAGAATTTAGAGAATATGGGAGTCACTCTTAATAAACAGGATGTTGTATTCAAAAATGAATGTTATCTTACCCAACGTGGTATACACTTAATTATCCATCATATAAATTATATCATCAAGATTGGCTCTGGACCTTCTCAAGATATCCAGATCTCTGGTCCTGAGGCTGAGTGTGAACATTGTGAGATCACGAAGACAGAAGAAGGAGAGGTTTTTCTAATTCCAGTTGACAACTCAAAAACCTATGTCAATGGCTCACCGTGTAACACGAAGACCCAGCTGTGGCATGACGATAAAATACAACTAGGAACAAATGTATTTATTTTACACCTTCCCAAAAGACCAAAGCCAGAACATCATGCAACTCTACCAAGGTATTTTTTTTTTTATTTCAGGACACATGTAAAGTAAAAAATGCAGGTAATATATGACACATAAAGGCAGGCAACAGAAAATTATAACTAAACTATGCTGTGAGTCAGTCAGGTCTTTGTAGCTGGATATGCACGTTTCAACTGTTTCTTAAACTACAGTGTTCTAATGGTTTCACTTTAGGATATGTCCAGGGGCGGACTGACCATTTGGAAAGGGCCCGGGGTCAGTAGGGGGCCCCATGAGATGCCCCTGGTACCTTTTTCATAGGTTTTTTTGAGTTTGAGCAAGGACACAGGGGCCCCATGGTCCCCTATTGCTCGGGGGCCCCATGAGTTGTCAGTCCGCCCCTGGATATGTCGATGCATGGTTGCCACACACAATGTGAAAAAAGTTAAAAACATGAAGTTATGGATTGAATAATGCTAATTAGTGCAAAAAGTACCCTCATAGCAGCCATTGGGTTTGGTCCAGTCTAGAGGTGGCTTGTGTGTGCAGGAGAGAAAGCTGACAATGGCTGCAAGTGCCTGGGAGATGACGTCACCCATAGACTTAGGGCAGCACAGTGGCTAAATGGTTAGCACTTCCGCCTGGCAGTACTCGGGTCGTTTGTTCGAATCCCAGCCACGGCACCACCTGCCTAGAGTTTGCATGTTCTCCCTGTGCCTGTGTGGGTTTTCTCTGGGTACTCCAGTTTCCTCCCATGTTCCAAAGACATGCTGGTAGGTTAATTGGATCCTGTCTAAATTGTCCCTAATATGTGTATGTATGAATGTGAGTTAGGGACCTTAGACTGTACACCCCTTGAGGGTTAGGGACTGATGTGAATGTACCATATATATGTAAAAGTGCTGTGTAAATGATGGCGCTATATAAGTACTTGAAATAAATAAATAAATAGACTTACTATGGGGTGCCAGCTGCCCCTCCTCTCCACAGAAGCCACTGATGACAGCTGAGCCTGGGACCGGACTGGTTTCAGAATAGGTAAGTAGAGGGATCTTTTCTTTATAGGGTTAGATAGAATAGGTTTAGAATAGGGATGGGGGTAGGTTTAGTGTTAGTGAGGTTTTCACTGGAATTCCACTTGAACAGCTTTCCCCCCGCTGCCCTATTGCAGTTATACTGCTACAGGGCAGTAGAGGTGCTCAAAATCACATATATGATTTTGCACTTTTGGACTTTTGGGTAGGGGGCCGCGAGCTGCGCCCTACCTGAGCTGCTATTCGAGGCCTCGTCTGTCAATCACCGGGTCCTGGCCAGTGATTACTCATCGGCACACGGTGATCGAGGAGCATTACTGATGAAAAGGGAGAACTGTATGTAAACAACACAGATCTCTCCCCTGTCACCTCCTTCACACTGCTTTGTATGGCTCTGCATATCAGAGCCATACAAAGCAATGTGCTTACAGTTGAAAGCACATACACAGCACACAGTAAAACAGCACATAGCACACAGGTAACCCTTTGATCGCCACAGATGTTAACCCCTTCCTGCCCAGTGCCATTATTATAGCATCAGTGCTTTTTATTAGCACTGATCACTGTATTGGTGTCACTGGGGATGTCAGCGACACCAAGTCAGTTCTCCCCCCAGTGTCAGAATGCTTGCTGCAGTCCTGCAGTCCCACTATAAATCACTGATCGCCGCCATTACTAGTGAAAAAAAAAAATAGCAGTATATATACACAGCCATTTGTAAACGCTATAACTTTCACGTAAACCAATTAATTTACATGTATTGGGATTTGTTTTAGCAACAGCATGGAGCAGAATACATTTTGGCTGAAATTTATGATTGAATTTTGATATTTTACATTTTTTGCTGGATATGTTTAATAACAAAAAGTCAAAATGTTTTTTTTCTCAAAATTTTCGGTCTTTTTTTTTTATAGCGCAAAAAATAAAAAATGCACAGGCGATCAAATACCACCTGAAAGAAAGCTCTATTTGTGGGAAAAAAAGGGCATACATTTCATTTGGATGCGGCATTGCATGACCGCACAATTGTCAGTTAAAGTAACACACCGTAACGCAAAAAATGGCCTGGTCAGGAAGGGGAGTAAACCCTCTGAAGGGCAAGGGGTAATGCCACTTTTGTCCTGCAGCCTCTTTACAGCCAGCCCCTGTCCATATGCACTATGGTGATAACAGGCTTCATGTGTTTTTGCACAGGGCATAGTTCATAATTGTTGATGGCTGCAATTGTTTTTTTTTTTTTACCTGGGTATTGTGCATCAGCACAGATGCTTAAGTTTCTGTTGAGAGAGCATGCTTTACAGGCAGGATATTATGGGTTACAAGGGCAGAGTGTGTTGGCACCCTACACCACAAAATGCCCACAAAAATATTATATCAGTAGAATCAGCTGTATTGTCATGGAACCTAGAGATTAAAATATAAAAATAAAAATATTTTCATGGAAAAGCTGATATGTCATTTTATCGGTTGAGGTTACATCTAGTTTAACAAATTATGCTTTGAGTTCTTTGATTTGCAGTGCTGGGGCACAATTCTATATTCACAGATTTGTACACATAGAAATACTTTTAAGATGCCCCAACATCTGATACCCCTATTCCTATCCCCCAACATCTGATACCCCTATTCCTATCCCCCAACATCTGATACCCCTATTCCTATCCCCCAACTGATCTGATATCCCCCAACCCCCCTACCCCCCAACTTCTGATACCCTGTTCCTATTACCAGTATCATGTACCTATGCCTCCACCTCTGATACCCTTGTTTCTATTCCCCAACCTCTGATCCCCCAGTTCTAATGCCTTAAACCTTCAATACCCCTATTCCCCTTATCCAACCTCTGATTCCCCTGTTCTTATCTCCCAAGCTCTTGTATGATTGTCCCTATACCCCAACGCTGGATACTCTTGTTGCTAATCCTCAACTTCCTATTCATCTGTTCCTTTTACCAACTGATGATTACCTTGTCCCTATCCCCCAATCTCTGATACCCCTGTTTCTATCACTCATCCTCTAATACTCCATTTCTTCAACCTGTGATATTCCTGTTCCTTTCCCAAAACTCTGATAACCCTGTACCTTCACCTCTGACACCTATGTTGCTATTGCCAGTCTCTAATACACTTGTTCATACCCCCCAACCTCTGATACTTCTGTTCCTATCCAGACCTCTGATACCTCTGTTCCTATACCCCAACTTCTGAAACCCTGGTCCCTTTCTAAAACCTCTAATACCCCAGTACCTATCCTAACCTCTATCCTGTTCCTAACCTCTAAAACCTACACCTGTTCCTATCCCCAACCTAACCCCTGTTCCTAACCTACACCCCCTGTTCCTATCCCCAACCTCTAATACCCCTGTTCCTATCCCCAACCTTTTTTCAGTGGGAACATGGAGCCACCTTTGGCACTGAATGTTTATAATGGCAAAGGTTACTGGGTTGTGCTGGAATTTCTATTTATGTTGTCTGCTGGGGTATCTATTGTTGCCAATGGGGATCTATTGTTGTTGGGGGTCAATTGTTCTGGAAGGGATCTGCTGATGAGGGAAGAGTCTGCTCCTTCTGTTGCTGGTTGCTGGAGTCTATTGATGCTGGCTGTTGGGAGATTTGTTGTTGCTGTTGGGAGTCTATTGTTTCTGGGGTGGCATTTTGTTGTGGTGGTCCATTTTTGCCAGGATAATTTATTGTTGCTGGGGGGGGGGGGTATATTGCTTCTTGCTGCAGGGGATCTATTTTATTGCTTTTCTGTTATCATTACCAAATTCCATACAAAGTATTTAGCACCACAAAATGATACTTGGCTCTGTATTCTCTAGATGGAGCAGTACTGGGAGGTGAGTAGGGGGTGGAACCAAGGGACAGTGCTTGGAGGTGGGTACGTGAAGACAAGAAGAGACTCAGTAGGGGGGAGTCCCGGCATAGATTGTCTGAGAAAAAAAGCCCTGCCTCTTTCTATACCAAACCTCTAATACCCCTCTTATACATCTGTTTTTGCCACTTCTGCTGAGCCCCCCTTCTTTGTCTCCTTCTCCCTCCAGAATTGGTCGGGTCAGTAACAGATCTGGGAGGCAAATTTCAAATACACTTCCTGTTGTAGAAGCTCCGCTTATTGTGTCATGTGATTATTTTGACAAAATCACTGCTGGAAGGAGGTTTTGGAGGCAGCCTGGGATCAGATTTATATGCAGAGCCACGTGTTATGTTTCTTGCACTGTAATGAGTTTCTAACCCTTCTCAACATCCCCTCCCCCTAAATTCTCAGTTCTGAGACCTGGTGCTGCCCCATCTAACCCTTCTGCCCAGTGGCCCATGAGAGCCTTTACAGTACACACAGTTGGTCCTCACTCCCATTTATAGACATCACGAAGGTTACAGACAGTTGTCAGTCCTGCATGTCACCCAGAATCTGTATACATCATTTCTTTTACCACCATACAATTTATTAAGTTCCAAAAGACAAATGGGTACTTACAAGCGATAATAAACAACAAGCATGTATCATCCCAACTTCAGCCTTGGACGATAAATCCCACCAAAAGACAGACAGGACACCAGGCTTATTTAGCTCTGAGGAAGGGAACTTGACTCCCAAAATGCATTAGCTTTCATACCAGATGGTATTCATTGCCCAAGACTGAAGTTGGGTTGATACATACCTGTTGATACATTCCTGTGGATACCTGTTGATACAGGCATGTATCAAACCAACTTCAGCCTTGGGTAATAAATCCCATTAAAACACTATCTTGTAGGAAAGCTAATGCATTTCGGGAGTCATGTCCCCTTCCTCAGAGCTAAACCAGCCTGGTGTCCTTTCTGTCTTTTGATGGTATTTATCGCCCAAGGTTGAAGTTGGTTTGATATATGCCTGTTGTTTATTACTGCTTGCGAGTACCCATTCATCTTTTTGGAACCTAATAAATTGTATGGTGGTAATGCATGAGGAGTTGCGCCCTCTTATGTGTGTTTTTACAGTTGACTGGAGATTTCTAGATTTGTGAAGGGCTACATCTGAAGAAGCATTGCACACCTTCTGTAAGTTCCCTTTGGAGCACATCAGGTTGAGCACTGGAATGTTTTTTTTTTGTCACTTTTATATCTGTATTAACAAAAACAAATGAACTATTTCTGTTCTGTGTTATTTCAGTGATGCATTAAGTGTGCAGGAGTCTAGGGAGCGCCTGGCTGTCTTCTTCAGGGACCCCAACACCGATGCAACATGGCTATTAAAGCTTTTCTCAGAACTTTCAGCCTTTAAATATGGGACTGTGTGTGGCTGCATTTCTCATCTTGGAAAAGATAGAATGGAAATCTATGGTTGATAAATCCTCCATCATTATCCTGTATCACTCTCACTCTTCAGAAACCCCTTGCCGCATCTGTCTGATCTGAAGACATTCCTGGATTACTGCCGAGAAAAACATGGTAAGATAGTCATACTGAGTCACAGATGAGAAAGGTATCTCCTGGATTCTGGATCCACTCTGAATGCCTCTGTTTTGTAGACCACAGATCTGGTCACTTTGTTTACAGAGCTTTCTGGTTGCTTTTCATTCCTTTAAAGTGGTTCTAAAGGCTAAAGGTTTTTTACCTTCATGCATTCTATGCTATATTGAGGGGCAACACCCTCTCCTGCAAAGACCTAGTTCCGTGAACGGAACAGTGCTCCAGAACTCCTCCCAAGCTTGTCAGACTGGCTTCTGTTGTTAGTACCTTCCAGGATATAGAAAGAAACAATCTCCCCATCTCAATAATGTGATAGAAGATCCACCATTCCAGAGACAGTCTTGTGCTGGGATACAGCTTCATTGGGAATCCAACAACTTGGGTCCCCCTGTCCCATGCTTCCAAGACATTTAGTTGGAAGGGCATTGAATGAAGCTGCGTAAGTAGAACCAGCTCGAAGGAGACTACCATTTTCCCCAAAATCTTTATGAATAAACAAATTGAGTGGTTTGTTAGAGTCTTTAGCAAGTTTAAGCCCTCAGAGTAAGAGATTTGTCTGGACAGAGAAACATCTTTCCAGGAGCTGTTTCCAGAATACAGCCCAGATATTCCAACCTCTGGGCTGTAACTAAGGCAGAGTTCTTCAGATTCAGAACATATCCAAATCTCTCCATAGTGCTCTCCATGAAAGACACACTTGTCCCTAAGAGTGGAGCAGACTTCTGTCGCCCAGGTACAGAAATATACTGAGAATGTAATAGCCTCAGAACTAGAGCCAGAACCTTAGTGATACTCTGGGAGCTGTAGACAGGCTGAATGGTAGAGCCACACACTGGAAATGATGTTCCTCCACTGCAAACCTCATAAATCTATGGTGCAGTAGAAAATTTGGGACGTGCAGGTAAGCATCTTTGATAGTGGCTAATGTTAGAAAATCTCCTTTCTGGAGAGATGCCACTATTGACCTCACTGACTCCATCCAAAATAATGTTCCTTTGTTGAGTTTCTTGAGATGCAAGATGGGGGAACACTGTTGTTTGGTTTTGGAACTGTGAAGAGTTTAGAGTAAATCCCCCAAAAGCCTTTTGTCTTGTTGAACTGGAACAATTATCCCTTGAGATAAAAGATGATTCAGAGCTTGGAAGAGAGAAACATTTTTTGTGGATCTGAAGAAACTGTATCCTCGAGCCACAATGTTGGGAACCCATTCATCTTCTGTCTTCTCCTGTCAAGCTTCCATAAAGGCCTGCAGACATTATCCATCCCGAACGAGTGGAGGAGCCCCTTAATTGGTTAGAGGACTTATCCCCCCTGCCTAGAGGGCTTTGAAATCCATGATTTCTTGTGAAACTGAGACTGGGGTTTTGGCTTAGAGCTTGATGTTTGAAACTGGTGAAAGGAATGCTTCTTGGAAGTGAAAGGAGTCTCTGAACTTCAGGTTTCACCTTTTTTAAATGGTAGCAAAGTACTCTTACATACAATCACTTTCTGGATGCAATCATCCACAGCAGGACCAAACAACCATTCCCCTTGAAAACGTAAATGTTCCACATGCTTCTTGTAGGGTAATCCACTGACCAACATTTCAGTCACCATAAAATCCTGTGCATGTGCACTGGCAAGACATCTAAATGGGAAAGCTGTTAAGTGGTGCCCTTTAAAGTGTCTACTGAAAAACGAAGAGCAAGAGGGAAATCCTTCAGTTTTTGTTCCCATCAGAATCACTAGACCAGGGGTGTCAAACTGGCGGCCCTCTAAGCTGTTGAAAAACTACAAGTCCCATCATACCTCTGCCTTTGGGAGTCATGCTTGTAACTGTCAATCTTTCAATGCCTCATGGGACTTTAGTTTGGCAACAGCTGGAGGGCCGCCAGTTTGACACCTGTCCTCTAGAAGGATCCTTCTTCCGTATCATTTATCAAGCCCAGACATTCAGGCTTTGGCAAATTCCTATAGCTGCAATCACCGGCTTTAATGCTGTCCCCACCAGGGGGGCATGAAGCCTTAAAGTATATGTAAACCCTCACCTTGTAAAATAAACTATTCAGTTCAAAATATACTGTAAATGAAAGGCAAAAAACTTGTGTATAGATATAAAAAAAACATTATAAATACCCTTTTTTCCCCTTTTTTTTATAAGTGATCACATGCCCTCAGTGGCACATAGAGGTAGGAAGGAGACACAGCAGCACACTGATATTCCCAGTGAATGGCTGTGCAGGAGAGAGGGGGCATGTCAGGACAAGTCTGATCTTTAGAGGAGAGCACACTAAGTTCCCAACACAGCTAGAGAACTGACCATGCTCTCATGCCTAAGTGTAGTCAGTTTTTAATAGGAAAGCAGAGGGATTGGTCCACTCCATCGCTTAACCTCAGTAGAGGAAAACAGGAGCGTAGCTAGATATCTCTGCCTCCTGACACAACGATCATATAGAAGAAACGTATGAGCAATCCAGGAACCATAGTACAACAGCTACAGCTGCCAAACGACCGTATAATTAAAGGGCCCTTAAATGTGCAACACCAAGCAGGTGAGAGGTAGACAACACAAAAACAGTGCAAAATCTAAAATGAATATAACACAAATAGATAAACACTAAATTTATAATAAGTGTCCATGAAAAATAAAATATATATATAAGTCCTTATTCCCATCAAAACCAAAAAAAATCAATCAAAAATCTTCCAAATGTGCTTCCACCTATCCACCACATGAGAAATAATGTTGACCACACTCACAAGATGGAGGTGAGTAGTGAGACTTATAGGATATAAGGGATCCTATAACCAAGAACGTCTTGAGAACGCCCTGTGGGTGGGGCGAAACGCATTGACGCACTTCCGGTCCGCCGTCATTCTGGTTAAATGTCACTTCTGGTGTTTGGAACGCACGCCGGCTTATGCGGTTCAAGTGGCCATCTTGGAGGTGGAAGGCTATTCATCCTCTGCAGTGACTATAGAAGCGTGAGATCCCTATATCTACATTCTGAAAATTTGTTATCTTGAAGCCATTGAGGCTATTAAACAAGGCTTTTAACTTTATTTAAACATGTGAGTGGCCTTATTCTATCTTTATATTCTATATGGAGTGGCAGGATTACACTATGTAGTTTTTTTCTCTGCACACAATTGAGGAATCCATGGAGGAATAGAGTGGAGACGAGGGCTATACCATAGCAGGGTGAAGAAGGAGATTTGAGTTCCTTTGGAGGGGTTATAGGATCCCTTATATCCTGTAAGGCTCACTACTCACCTCCATCTGGTGAGTGCGCTCAACATTATTTCTCATGTGGTGGATAGGTGGAAGCACATTTGGAAGATTTTTGATTGATTTTTTTTGGTTTTGATGGGAATAAGGACTTATATATATATTTTTTATTTTTCATGGACACTTATTATAAATTTAGTGTTTATCTATTTGTGTTATTTTAATTTTAGATTTTGCGCTGTTTTTGTGTTGTTTATTATTGGTGTTTTTTCACTGGTGCACAGCTGCATAATCATATAGTTTTTTCTTTTTTTTTGGCGCTGGGATATATACTTTTGGTTTTAGGTGAGAGGTAGAGGCCACTGACCAGGACATGAGTACCAACATAGTGGTATCCCAGGGCACTTACTAGCTGCTGCAGTCCCCCCTTAGGGGGGTCTGATCTACACCCAACTGCGGCTTTAGCATCAGGACTCTGAGGTATTCAACGAGACTCCCTTGAACTGTATATCACTCTACTGGTCCACAAGGAAATATATAATTTCAAAAGGGTTCAATATTCAGGGTCCCTTGGCGACCAACAATGTTACAGGCTGTCCCCGAGTGTCCGGGTACCATTCTTCTGAGCAAAGAAAATGCCATAGGCTATGGATCAGGGTAGCGCCAGTCTCTTAATCCTGGCTGGAACTTATGAGAAGCTAACTATCTTTGTCCAGAGAACTAAACCAACATGACTATCACGTAAGACACTAGCAAAACAAAATGGAACCTGCCATAATGGGGATGAGTTATATAAGGGAAAGGACTTTTTTTGGACAGTGTTTAATCATCTGAAAGTGTCAGCATAACCTTACCACCATGAATTTGAAGATGTTCTGTGTTCCAGGGATTTACAAACAAGGATAAAAATATTTTTGTAAGCTAACAGTACTGACTTATACATAAACAACAAGTGGGTAAAATGCTCAAGTTAAAAAAAATTGTATAACAGTTTTTTTTAGTTTGCCAAACTTGTAAAACTGGAGCTTTCATATAGATATAGTCTAATCTATAGTCTTGTCTACTCTGTAGGTCCAGAAAACATAAAAGTTGTGATAACTGATGTGGAGGATATACATTCGGAGAGGAAGATTACAGAATGGTGGATGGTGGGAAGATGCTGGGACTGGGAACCCCTGACTCTCAGCAAAGCAGAAATGAGATCTCTGACTGAACATAAAATAAACCTTCTATCAGCAGAGAGAAGAATGGCCAATAAACTCCGACACATCTACCAGATCGTACACGAGGCTGCAAGTAATAGGGACATTCCATTATTTATTCCTCTATTATACTCCTGTAATACTGTACATTGAGTATGTTTTTAATGAGTATTATATTGTGTGCAGTATAAGGTGTGGTCCTATTATATGGACTGTGTGACAATGGAGAGGTTTTACCCTCACATTTCCACAATTCACTTAAACAAAACCTGTCAGAGAAGTATAGAAACTGCCATTGCTCTCTTATTTTTCTGAAAATGTCTTCCCCTCATTACATTTCCACAATGTCTCATATTTGTCTTTTGTTCTTTACAGAGAAGAAATTTAATCAGGAAATTGAGAAGGTAAAATATATATTTAATAGCAATTCCTCATATCATTGTTCATTCTACTGTAGATCTATTATTTTTACATTCTGTTTTACAGACCAAGCTGAGCAACAAATATGAAAGTTAGAGGGGTTCAGACAGACCACATAACACTGCTGGTGGCGGGGGGGGGGGGGGGGGTCGGGTGTTAAAATGATCATCTTTTATTCTTTGAAAGCTTTTTTTCCAAATGAAACAAAACTGGTGCAGTAACTGTTTAAAGTGTATTAGTTCAAGTTGGGCTTTAATATATTAGTCTCTTAACTAAAGTCAATTTCACACTTGTCCATCTAAGACCACACTGTCCATAAGGTGGATAATGGCTCTACTGGCCAGATAAACAGGTAATAAATCTGTTGCTGCAGTGTGACTTATGTTGTAATTCTCTCAGGTACCATTAAATGCCCCCACACATCCTCCTTTATTTAGAATAATGGGGTGTAAGGTCATTTGAGTTGGGGTCCCGGCCTTTGGTTGTTAGTCAACCTTTCCTGGCACTCATTCTAGGTAACCCAGGTCACAGGTGGGTAGGGCAACAGCTGATGCCTTTCTTCCTTTTGTCTGATCCAGCAATGGAGACAACATTTAAGCAAACATAGAGCTGGGGTGTGTGCGGTCCTTCAGGGAAGGCAGGGTTTGGATTACTCCCTAATAAGGATGAGTTTGGCTTTAATTTGGGTTTGGACTGTCACTCCCACCCACTGCTGCTAAGTCAGCTGCAACCAGGGCATGCCATGTTCATAGTTTCATGTACACAAAAGGACAGGGATGCTTGTGACATCATTGAACTAATATGGTCACATGGACATATTAGGTCAGCTGTTTGGAATGTTAAAAGCATATAGGCCATAGAGGTAACTAAGAAGTAACAAATGCCCCTATTGATGTTGGAAGCATTTATCTTGGTAATATGGAATTCTGTTCTTGACTATCATGATTCCTTTTGGAAAGGGGGGAGTTCTCTTGATCTGTGTGCAGGGACAGAGGAACTTATACAGGCCTACAGTGTGAGCACAATATTTACATAGTTAGTCTGACTGAAAAAAGACAAAAGTCCATCCAGTTCAACCATTAAAAAAAAAAAAAAAAGAAAAAAGTTATAATCCTACATCCACAGTTTATCCAGAGGAAGGCAAAAAACCCAGCAAAGCGCGATCCAATTTTCTCCTGCAGGGAAAAAAATTCCTTCTTGACCCCCTGAGAAGCAATTGGATATTCCCTAGATCAACTTTACCTATAAATGTTAGTATCCGGTTATATTATGTGTATCTAGGAACATATCCAGGCCTTTTTTAAAGCAATCCACTGAGCTGGCCAGAACCAACTCTTGAGGGAGTCTATTCCACATTCTCACAGTTCTCGCTGTGAAGAAACCTTTCCATGTTTGGAGATTAAATTTCTTTTCCTCCAGACATAAAGAACACCCCTTTGTCCTCTGTGATGACCTCAGGGTGACCACAATAGTGGCACCGTATCCTGGTAAGGTCAGGCTGGGCCTTGCCTACAGTAGAATTCCCATGGAGGTGATGTCTTACTGTTCCACCTGAGGGAAGCAGGAACGTTGGGGAGTCCCATGCAAAAGTTACACCACATTGTATTCCTCAAACATAAGTAGACAAAATGTTATGTTCCAACACCGATAGACTGCATCATCATATACATCAGTTTTTTATTTTGTCTAGATTTGCACCTAAAGGAAACTTGTACTAGTACCCATTACACATTCTAGCTTTTATTTTATATCCGTGCTGTGCCTTCTCACTAATTCTTTTCAGTTTATTTTTTTTATTCGGGTTTCTGTAATGTATCCAGAATTGTCACAAAGTTCATATGAACATATATCAACTGTCATGAAGCAATTACCATATCTGTAATACTGGGTAAGGGTGAGGACCACCACTATAGAGGATTGTAAAAGTTCACAGGTTTAAAGTATCCTCCTAGGTTAGCTTCAAATACACTTCTGTGTCAAACATTTCATCTCCCAGTCTCTGACAAATGCAGGTCCCACATCTCAAATCAGTATACTGGGAGTTGCAGTATCTGTAGGCAGTAAACACAAAGAAGACAATTGCAATAAAACTTGTAACTTGTATTGAGCAGAATACCAAACACCCTAGTGGGAAACACCACTTTGGGAAAAATAACTCACAGTTCTATGTAGTCACAAATGTTGGTGAGGAGAGGTGTCGACCACATCTGTTTCAGAGAGGTAAGTATGGCCTGACCGGTCCATTCCCAAAAGGGAAAGCTTATTTCCAGGTTTTACGAGGCCCCAGCCTTTCCCTCCTCATTGGGAACCTTTCCCTTCCTCTAGTTACAGTCCCTAACAAGTGGGGTTTCCTTCGCTTTGCTAAGCACTTGCAAAATGCGTGCCAAAACTGGGTGGAAGGAACTTAAATAGACCTTCCTGACCCAAGATGGCCAGCAAGGGTCACATGGTCACAGTCTAACTAACCATAACGCTGCTGCATTGAACCAGGAAATCATAGAGAAACTATGTTTCCCTTGGACTTCCTCTCCAGGCAGTGGTACCACTTGGGTCGAGTAGGGTGTCTATGTCTTTCAGACATGCCTGAAGCAAGTGATAGGTCAGGGACAGGTACCCTCTGGTTAGGACAAGTAAATAGTGTGAGGTAAGATTCCCAGTGAGCAAGGATATATCAGGGAGGTCTCCTCCTCTCTGGGATACCATTCAGTGCCTGGTAAAGGAATGTAAAGTCTCCTTGTAGGCTGTGGGGTTAGGGAAGGCCAAGGCGGTAGGCACCCAAAGGAAAAACATGGCACATACAATGGTAGAAATTCAAACTTATATTGTTACACACTCCAGAAACAGTACAGAGTCTTTCCAACAATATAGGTCAAGCGGCAACACTCATAGCAGTATGCAGGGCTTGCAGAGAGCAATGCACAGAGGCTGGCTGCACTTGGCACCAGGGGCAGTTGGAAGGCAGTTGCTGTAAGCAGAAGTAGCAGAGACGTTCCCCAAAGAGCTCTGACAACAGTCCCTATGCTGTCCCTCCCCCTCTTAAACCTTTCCCTGCATTAGGCACACTCTGCCTGACAGACGGGTTCCTGTCCCTGACCTAGCCACACACAGAATGCACAATGACCCAAGGCTTTTTGTAAGCTCTGCCCTTACTAAAGATGGCCACAGAGGTCACCTGGGTGGCAGTGTCCATTTGGATGGCAGTCTTCCTGATGACATGTATGGAGGCCATTCTCTATGCAAGGTAGTTGCAACTGTGCCTCCTGTGTAGGGAAGTCAGCCTGCACCTGACTACATCCTCATTTGCAGAAGCAGCACAATTTGGTAGTCAGTATACAATCACCCCTTCAGCAGAAGCCATCCTACGGTGACACAAACTGTGAGATGCTAAACATGATTATAGCTTTATTCTTGGATTGCTTTGTTTCAGTGTCAAAGCATTGCTTGCGGTGTTGCTTTTATACTGTTTACAATTAATACAAGTTATGTCAGTGCTCCACAAGACTGTGTGCTGGAATTGACTTTAAATAAACATGGTAGATTTTCTTTATATCAGTACTGTGCCATATCACCAATTTACTTCAATTTCTTTAGCAGGCCTTTGGAAATGTAACAGCCTGGGTAAGTAGGGCTCTTTATACTTTCTTTGCATTTGGATGTGCCCCACATTTTAGAAAGGTATTTTGAGTGTTTTACATGCATAGTCAGCTTCAGGAGTTTTTGTTTCAGCCAATAGAAAATAGTAAGGGAAGGACCAGGGCCAATGCTAGACTATTTAGCGCCCTAGGCAAGACAAGCCAGAACCATGACACTGACCACACTCATATGAGTGATGGGAACACATCTATTATCATATACAGTGTCTCACAGAAGTGAGTACACCCCTCGCATGTTTGTAACTACATCAGCAATCTTGTCTCCAAATATCACCCAAACCGTACTCTCTGATCCTTACAAGACCTCCTGCTCTATAGCTCCCTTGTCTCCTCCTCCCATGCTCATCTCAAGGACTTCTCCAGAGCTTCCCCCATCCTCTGGAACTCTCTACCCCAAATTTATCAGACTATCGCCCACTCCGCTCACTTTTAGGCGATCTCTGAAAACCGATCTCTTCAGGGAAGCCTATTCTGCCCTTAGCTAATAATGGAATCTTCTACTCTTCCTACCAGTCCATCCCCCACAGTTACTACCTCTTGTACCACTAGCCCCTCCCTCCTAGATTGTTAAGCTCCAAGGAGCAGGGCCTTCCTATCCCTCTTGTATTGAACTGTATTGTTGCTGTATTGCCTCCCTTTATATTGTAAAGCGCTGAGCAAACTGTTGGCGCCATATAATCCTGTATAATAATAATAATAATAAAAAATAATATTTTATTCTACCTTTTCATGTGACAACACTGAAGAAATTACACTTTACTACAATATGATGTAGTCACTGTACAGCTTGTATAATATGTAAATTTGCTGTCCCCTCAAAATAACTCAACACACCGCCATTAATGTCTAAACTGCTGGCAACAAAAGTGAGTCCACCCCTAAGTGACAAGGTCCAAATTGGGCCCAAAGTGTCAATATTTTGTGTGGCCACCATTATTTTCCAGCACTGCCTTAACCCTCTTGGGCATGGAGTTCACAAGAGCTTCACAGGTTGCCACTGGAGTCCTCTTCCACTCCTCCATGACGACATCACGGAGCTGGTGGATGTTAGAGACCTTGCGCTCCTCCACATTCCGTTTGAGGATGCCCCACAGATGCTCAATAGGGTTTAGGTCTGGAGACATGCTTGGCCAGTCCATCACCTTTACCCTCAGCTTCTTTAGCAAGGCAGTGGTAGTCTTGGAGGTGTGTTTGGGGTCGTTATCATGTTGGAATACTGCCCTGCAGCCCAGTCTCCGAAGGGAGGGGATCATGCTCTGCTTCAGTATGTCACAATACATGTTGGCATTCATGGTTCCCTCAATGAACTGTAGATCCCCAGTGCCGGCAGCACTCATGCAGCCCCAGACCATGACACTCCCACCACCATGCGGCCCCAGACCATGACACTCCCACCAACATGCTTGACTGTAGGTAAGACACAC